TACGACCTCAGGGGTACGTCTGGAACGCATGAGGGCACGAGTGGATCCCAATTGATAGCATGCAAGCGACCTAGGGGACCCTGGAGCCAAAATTGGTCTTCCTTCTGGCTTCCCTTTGAAACAATCCAAGAAGGGGTACCCCTAAGAAAGGACACCCCCAGAAATAATTGAGTGTGCTAAAACTGAGTGAACCATCCCCCCTCATTTTTTCCGGCGTTTCCCCCCCAACCATGGAGATCTCCAGTGCTCACCAATTCCGCTTCAACCGTGTTTAGGGGTGATTTTCAAGCTCCAGCCACCCGCCCAGCCCCGGAATGAACCTGCCACCAACTAACATGGAAGTGCAAAAAGGCCCTTTCCAAGAGGAAAGTAGTCTTTCTACAGGGGTCGGTGCACTTCCACGTTAGCTGGTGGGAGGGTAATAAGACTTCGACATGGCCATCCGCCCGGCCGAGGTGCCATCGATCTTCACCTCGCCGCCTTCGAGAGACGTGATGACCTCCCGGCCCTCATCCTCAGCTCGTACCAAGATGCACGAACCCTTGTGGTGATCCTCCATGTGCTTAAGTCCCATGGAAAAAATATTCCAGTAGTGAAATCGAGTCCCTTTAAAACCAACAAGGGAAAATTGAAAAATATTCTTAACCAAATGGAAGTGATACAACGCATGGACCGGTGGTTGCTATTCAAAGGTGGGGAAACTAAAACGGAACACCAACCATCTTCGGGTTGCTTTTTTCTGAGTCTATATCAGCCATATGGAGTCTGGGGGCACCTGCGCCCTGGCGGGCTCAGGTGAAGGGGAATGCTGGATGTTGGATGTTAAGCAAAGCTGGAGCTTGTTTTGCAGGTTGTTTTTGAAGGTTGGGCAAAGCCTTTCAGGCGCAATAGGTTGTTGTAGGTGTTTTTTGCACTGGACAGAATGGACGCGGTGAAGTCGCGTTTATGGCATTAGTCAAACATGGAGCTCTTCCTTTTGGGAGATCAGGGGATGGTCGTGAAAGCAAAGTTTGCCCAGATCGACAAGCAAGAGTCTTTCCATTTCCATTCTTTCCAGGGATCTGAATCTTTTCAGAAAACCATCAAAAACCCAGGGGAAGCAGCCGGTTATTGAAAAGAACGATGGTTTCAGACGGCGCAATAGTGTTGTAAGTTTTTTTGCACTGGACAGAATGGGCGCGGTAAAGTCACGTTTTTGGTTTTTCACCAATGGCGATCAGTCAAACATGGATATCCAAAAAAGAGCGTGCAAGCGCTATTCAAGTCGCACTCAACATGCTTTCATCAATTGGGCACTATCAAAGCTTATCATGCCCTCAGTGCGGAGACATCAGGCTTAAGCCTTAAGCCCTAGTGTGGATGGACGAATCCCTGCACCAGTCGGTCGTTTATCCCATCGTGGACGGATGCACAATCCACTGTACACAGCTTGAGGCCTATGCCAGTATACGCACGTGAAAAAAGGCGTATGAGTATGCGAAAATAGGGGTAAAGCACACACCCGCAAGTACGACCATGACCATCCCTTTCCCAAATTGACCCGCAAGTAAATGGCCAACGGTGAAAACATCTGATTAACTGATTAGGTCACCTTTTGCATGAGGTAACTGGGTTGCTTGTCCCCCTTGAGCAAACGGTCGTTAGACCTTTCATAGATTCCATGGAAATTGCCATTTGCGTTTTTGCCCCCTGGAAAAAATGAGAACATATTTCCATTCGTGAAGTCGATTCCCTTGAGAAACCAACACGGTACAATAAAAAATGCTCATTTCAGCAAATGGAAGGAAAGGCAACTTGCTTCCAAGAGGTCGCTCCGGGGCCATCCAGTCAACCGACACCCCAGATTCATACACCCAGCCTACTTATTGTGTATGTCACCCTCACAAGTGATCCGGATTCCAAAAGGGTCATCATCAACCAGGGCCTCAGGCCGATTCTTCAGAGGTTCCCCAGCCCTGTGCCAGGTCCCCAAAATCACCCTAGAACAAATGGTGCGGAACCTGAGTGTCACTTGTAAACGGGGAAACTATAGGTCAGATCCGCTTCAATTCGCTCGAATCGAATCTGAAATGGTGACATGGTGAATCACGCCCCCCCCAAACAACCCTGCAATCCACTGAGTCCAGGGGTGCTTGTACATACCCCTTTTACATCCCCCTTGGGCAAATGAACCCAAGAGGCCTGCTGGTACCCTTTTTTTCCGTAGTCTATTTTAGTAGGGGAACCCTCCCCACAAAAACGGTAAAAGGGGCGCAGGGGCAATTCTGGGGGACCTAGATGCACTTCTTTACCCTTAGACGGTCCCCGATGGGACGACACCAGCCCAGCGGCCGGCTTCGGCTTTGTGGCGAGCGCCGGCACCACGCGCTTCGGGTCGGCCTTCGAAGTCGTCACATCGCGAGGACGCCTCACTTCCTATTGGGGGGAACCACACAAGGTTAAGGTCTAGACCCACATTCAACCACAACCTCCTGGCATCCCTTCCAGTCTTAAAAGGGACTCGGACCCGGGTTGGTGATTTAAACAAATGGGGATGTCTTTTTTAGGGGACCCCCGAACAAGGATGGTTTCCCTTTTGGCTTCGCTTTAAAACCAACAACACCGCTCCCCCAAGAAGACACACCCACATTGCGCCCAACCCGAAGAGAAGTTCTGCTTGGACTCCAAAGTTTCTACTCTTAGAATTCGATCACCCTTCGAAGGCAAAGGGAGCTGCCCCGTACAGTTTGGTTTGTGGAGGGTGAATTTGAGCTCAGGACCCTTGGGTGGAAATGTTTGCGTGGGGATGTATGTCTGCCAGCCTTTGTGACCAGATACTCTGCTTGAATTCATAGCCAAATTACATGTGGAACACAAGAAATGGGCGTCACATTCCTTGTGGTTTCTCTTTGCAACCATCACCCTTGTTGGGGACCACCTGAAGTCGGCACGAACGGGGTGTCAGGTGCTATTCACAGTTGTTCCAGTGCATTGCAAATCCAAATCTGCTTTCAGGGTACAAAAGGATACATCCGACAACAACATGCTTCATGATGTGCTACCCAATGATTTCCTCTGGTTTTCGATCAATCGTCCTGGTAAATTAGTAAAGGTGACGGTTTGACAAATCCAGGTGTATCCGTATCCGTGTGGAAGGCTGGATCATAAAGGTGTGGCCAGTCGCGTGTGATTGAGAAGCTCAGTTTGTCCAAACTGTGCGCCACGTTTGGTTCGCAAAAGCCGGGAAAGCCAAGCTTCCGGGGAAAAAGACAACTCCCCCATCCCACAAAGGAGCTATAGTCAAGCCCCCGCAGGGGCATTCAATTTTCAGTGGCTCGTCAAAAGCGGACCCCAACATGCATTTTGTTGTTTTCCCTGTAATTTCCCTTTGAATCAACCTAGAACCGGGATACTGAAGACAACTCCATTTGGATGGGAAATTTGTTGAACTTGCCGGACGCTTCGACGGTTCGACGGACTGGCGAAGCGAGAACTTGCCTTCTTGGCAAAGGAAAAGGAGAGCTTCATGGCGTCAAAGAGTTGGCGACTCTGATGGCCAGGGGAGAAATAGGTCTGGGTTGCTGCCTTCGATGTCACCCTTTTTGGGGTGGGTTTCAAGCATAAAGCTAAAGGAGACATCACCAATGCTCAGGGTCGCCCTACGAACCCAAATGGAATTATCAGTCCCTGAGTGGATTGGTCAAACCACCCAAGTTCAGAAAACCCGGTAGAACAAGGGAACCCTTTTGGGGTTGACCATGTATAGTGAGGAGGCCACCAAACAAAAAAGGAGAACGTGTGGCACTAAAGCCACTGAACCACTAGCAGACGTTTTGTTTGTCAACAATGACATTCCCAAGAAGTGGCTTTAAGTCCACTCACTGGGGCAATGATGGTTCGGCTTCAAGGCAATCTCTGCCCTGTTGAGTTCACTGGCACTTTCATAGCTCACGTGGACGACGCCTGTCACGCAGCGGTACTTATGTTTTTTTCGCGTGCCAACGGGGGGAGTGGCTGGAGATCCTTCACTCCGCTTGCAATTGTTGCGTTCTTCGGTTGTTAGGGGCCCTTTTCCGATGGGGTTAGAGCCAAGCTGCAGCTTCGTTTCCATGTGAATCCATCCGAGCCGAAACATGCGATGGCCATTGCCATGTCACTTCGCTTCCCTCGGAAGGCGCGCCCGGAATCCGCGAACCCGCACGCCCAAACATCGGTCGTCCCAGGTGTTCCCTTAGTTTTCCTGAGGCCCAAGGGGGACACTTCAACAAATAGCATGGCGGAGCCGGCTTCGGAGCTCGAGATCTTTGATCAAACCCTTGAGCTGTTCATGGTTGAGAATGGCCGTGTTATTTTTGTGCATGGCGAGTTTTCCGGTTTTGGGCATGGGTTGTTTGAGGGTCCAAGGACACCTTGAAAAGAGGCCCACCGTCGACCAATTTCATGCTTTGATCAAGCCAAGGGAGCAACCTGAAATGAACATCCCTCTGTTCAAACAATTAGCTTATATGTTTATTTAATTCATGTTTTTTGATAGACAGTTGAGTGTGTCTGTAGATGGGACAACTCCCAGCAAGGGATCGAGTTGTATCCCCCCAGGGTTTGCTCAGCACATGGTCTCAACCCAAAGTAGTTTCTAGGTCCTCCAGTAGAGAAGTTAGAATAAGGGTATTTTGTCTATTTTAGTAGGGCAACCCTCCCAACCAAAAAAGGGGTGAGAAGTCGGGCACCTAGCTGGGGCACCTGGTTCAAGTCAAAACCGGGCCGGCGTAGCCTTAGAGAAGGGTCGGTTTAAGGGGAAAAGCATGGAAAAGCCCATTTTGGGGTTGGTTGAGAGAGGGCACCTAGCTGGAAAACCTAGTTGGACGTGGCTCGAAACTACAAAAAAAACGGGCAAACCACAGGTTTTGGTCCATGTTTCCACTTACCATGATAACCCATTTTGGATTTCCGGCTTCTTGAGCCACAGCCAGTTGAGTCCCTTCAAGGACCTCGGCTTGGGGAGCTCCCCGGCCCTCGCCGGC